TAGTCAGTTTGATTTCTATGTATTCCATCTGGTGAGGTCCATGTGTATATTTATCTGTTATGCTGTCTAAAGAAGGTGTTTGAAATGCACAAATCTTTTTTTTTTTTTTTTTCCAATTTCTATAATGCGTTCTCCAGCATCATTTCTATCACCGAGGCAATATTTTCAAACTACTGCTCCTTCCTCTTTGCTCCCAACCTTTGCATTCCAATCACCAGTAATGATAGAAGCTTTCACTATATCAAGTTGCAGTTTGAAGTTTTTCTTCAGTTTCCTCGGCTTGCCCATAGAAGCTTTCAATACAGCATGTGGTGGTTTGACATTTCTCTAAAGTTTCCTAAGCTTGATAAATACTTTTCATTTTTCTGACTCCAGGTCTTTGAACATTTTGTTATAATATTTGTTTTTTTTTTCTTCTAGAGGTGACCTTTGAAATTTTCTGTTCAGCTCTTGTACCTCCTCATTTATTCCATTTGCTTTAGCATCTCTACTCTGGAAAGCAAGTTTCAGGGTCTCTTCTGACATCCATTTTGGTCTTTTCCTTTTCATTTGTCTTCTCAATGACCTTTTGCTTTCTTCGTGTATGATGTCACTCAACAACTCTTCTCATCTTCGGTCTTTAATGTCTAATACATCAAATCTGTTCTTCAGATGATTTTTATCTTCAGGTGGGATATATTCAAAGTCATATTTGGGCTCTCGTGGACTTGCTTTCATTTTCTTCAGCTTCAGCCTGAATTTGCATATCAGCAATTGATGGTCTGTTCCACAGTCTGCACCTGACCTTGTTTAGGATGATTATGTGGTGCTTTTCCGCAATTTATTTCCGTAGATGTAATCAATTTGCTTTTTGTGTATTACGTCTGGTGAGGTCCATGTGTTTAGTCATCATTTAGGCTGTTTAAAAAAGGTTTTGCAATGAAGAAGTTATTGGTTTTGCAGAATTCTATCATTCAATCACCAGCGTCATTTCTGTCATCAAGGTCATGTCCAACTACTGATGCTTCCTGTTTGTTCCCAACCTTTTCATTCTGATCTCTAGTAATTATAAATATATCTTGATAACATTCGATCATTTTCAGACTGAATAAATTAGTAGACTTCTTCAGTTTCATCATTGCTGGCTTCAGCAGTTGGTGCATAAATTTGAATAATAGTTGTATTAACTAATCTTCAAAATGAAGAGAAAAAGATGTAAAATCCATTAATAATTTGAAAATGGAATATAAAAATACGAATATAGGAAAATTGTAAATTGTCAAAAATGAAACAGGACATTTAAACATTGATATCTAGGCATGAAAGAGCTGAAATAGACTGGTATTGGCCATTTTGAATCCTACAATCACATGGTTTACTATGCTGGGAATGACAAATTGAAGAGGAATGGTGTCACATTTATCATCAGAAAGAACATAACAGCAGCATTCATAAGGTACAATGCTGTCTGTGATAAGATAATTTATTTAGGGTATGTGATTAAGTCAGTGCAAAGTTTAGAGATGCTGCAGCTTAAAAAGGCTGAGTTAAACTTTATATGGAATCTAGACTCCTGTCAAAACTTCAGTACAGAATTAAAGCTCTGATTTCAGGCAGTTCTATTTATACACACCAAATTACTGTGATTTTAAACTCTCATATAGTCCTTGAGAACATGAAAATTATTGACCAGTTTAGTTTTCTTCAGACATTACCTCTTGTCTCCATAACTGGAGGATACCAAGTGACCTATAAAATCTCAATACTCTTTAAGGTAAATATTTTAGAGGCTGCAATTTTCCTCTAAGAATGACGGTTCCTAGATTTGGTTTCATGTAGAGGTCAATTGTTCCTTGTGTACTTTGCTACATTGAAATCAAACTCAATATAGCAGAATTTCCCCATGGAGGAAATAAATCCAACTCATCCTGAATCTTTCCATGCCCAGTCTTCCAAAGATGTCTACAAAGAGAGAAAATAAGCAAAGTGTTTCTATTTTGTCTTCTTTATACCCAAGGGAGGTGAATTGTTTAGAGAGTGGAAGGACAATAAAACAATTTATTTAATGAAGCACTCTGAGATTTCTAGAGACTCTGGATTCTTTATAAAATATCTTCACTGCCCTTCACTTTGTAAATATTTGTTTCCATTCTAGATGAAAACCACATTGGACTTCTCAGAGACAGACCGTGGAGAAGAGAAACAGCTTCAGTGATACCATCAGAAAGGCTTAGTGTGTCCCATTGAAAGCTGCTAAAGCAAGAAGGAAAAGAGGAGGAAAAGCACACTGAGTTCATCTCTGATAAGGAGATAGAAACTTTCCATATTTATTTAGAAATGTGAACTCTCTGTACTTGAAAGACAGTATGTTTTCTATAACAGCAAGTCTTCTCCAGCTCTAAATCTGTTTCTTTGTTGTCTTAAGGGAATGTACATTTTCTTTTCAAGCAGAATAAGAAGTGAGAAAATGACTATATCTTAAATGTGTTATATTACATAGAATCTCAGAAGTAACCTGTTTTGATACTATATCTTATCTCCCTCACCAAACATCAGTTTTTCACTCTTTTCTATAAATTGCAGATTGCTGTTAGATTTCTTACATCCAATAATTTATCTATTATTTACTCAATAAACTTCTATTATGCAGAATGTATTATCTATTTTGGGGAGCATGCTGGCTCTGTAGGATAAGCACTCGACTTTGAACCACATAGTTGGTGGATCAGACCCTCTATTTGTGGACCTCACAAGTCGTTTGCTTGTTAGCCCTCATTCTCTGCTATCTGTCTCACAGACCTCTCAAACACTCTTTCTGTTGTTTCAGCCCATTATGCCATCCTTTCCTTAGTTCCTCTGACTCATAATTACACTTTTAATCTGATTTCAGAAAAGCCTTTCCTTCTCATGCCTAACCCTGGCTAAATTATATTTGAATGATATTTCTATCTGAAATTATATTTTTGGCTTTTTCATAATTATTATCCAGTTGTTGTTGTTATGTGCTAGGAAGTCAGTTCCAACTCATAGAGACTCTGTACAGGGTTTCCAAGGCTGTAAATCTTTACGGGAACAGAAGGCCTCTTGTTTCTCCCATGGAACAGCTGGTAGTTTCGAACTACTGACCTTGCAGTTTGCAGCCTGATTCATAACTACTATGCTACCAGAACTCCTTATGCATATACAATACTATTTAATCTTTAATGGAAAATATAACCTTTTACTTTTAACTCTTAAGACTGAATTTTGATTTTCTTTAGTATGATTTGCTACGTATAAGTTTAAAGATTTTTTAATATAACCTGCCCAACTTCTTTATAATTAACTCCACTGATTTTACATCTTCTCATCCTCACCCAACAGTAAACACATTGGAGCACAAACTCACACACAATTTCCATTTGTTATGTTGTATTTTTTGCCTTCTTATTGGTTGTCCACATGCCCTTTCCTCCCTTTTGAAGCTTTCATTTGTCAAGTGATTTCTAAAAGAGGAAGCCGTAGAGATCTTCACTAACTGGAAGTGCTGCATGGAGGTCAGAAGAGGTAACAGGCCTGTTGTGTTTTTAATGATCAACATTTCATTCTTCTTGTCTGTTTAAAGGGAGTATTGATTAATAAAATATAAGTAAGATAGATTTAATTTGTGGATAACCCTAATTCACAAATATCAAATGCTGTTGTATGCCACACTAGAAATAGTACATGTATCATCTCATTTAATGTAATCAACATCATCAAATAGGAAATATTTACTGCTGAGGTGTCAGCAGCTAAGGGAGAGTAGCTTACATTCTCAAGGTCACACAGGTAGTAAGTTGGTAGAGTTAAAATTTTATTCAAGGTAGTATTATTTTAACACCCATTGTTGAAACCTCAGCTTTATAAAGGAACTGTTAAGAACTATAAATCCAAAATGATTGTCATAAAAGGAAGAGATTAATTATAATAATGTTGTTATTAAATGCTGTTCAGTTGAGTCTAACTCATAGCAACTCTATACAGGATTTCCAAGGAGAAACTGGTGGATTTGCACTGCCTTCCTTGTATTGCTCAGTCCAGTGCTTAGTCTATATTCCCATATCAGGAGTCATCATCATAATAATAATAACAGCTAGGAGCTCTAGTAGCATGGTGGTTACAAGTTGGACTGTTATCTTTAAAGTTAGCAGTTGAAAACTACCAGTCATTTAGTGGGGGGAAGTACAGATAAGGTTTTCTGCTCACATAAAGATTTACAACCTTGGATAGCCTGTACAGGGTTGCTATGAGTCGGAACCGATTCCGCGACACATAACCACCACTACCACCATTATTACCTGAGATCCTACTGTTCACAAAGACATTCTTAAACCTCACAAAGAAGATAATGGGAATGATCATATTTTCTTAAAAAGAAAAAAAAAAAAGTCACCAAGAGTTTTCTGTCACATCAATGGAATATGCCAGTCCACTTTAAAGATAGGAACTTTCAGCTCAAATGAACTTTAATTCTGGTGTTCCACTGTATTATAAGCAATGGACTACCAAGACCAAGGTTGGCAGTTCAAACCCACTGGCTGTTCCTCTGAGACACTATTGAGGATTACTATGAGTCAGAACCAACTTGACAGTAATTAATAACAACAACAATAAACCGGAATGAAGGAGCTTTGGATATTATCAGGGAAGGAACATACTTCAGAATTAACATGCAATAACAAATTATTAATATTAACAAATTAATATTTGCAATTACCTTGGAAGGCTCATGTCAAAGAAGAAATTAGTTGATGGGCATCGATTCTAAAAGGAGAATCAGAAATAGAAGCAAAAAAGAGACATTTATGTTAAACCAGAGTCTAAATAATTATGCCCACTGAAAATGTAAATGAAATCCCTGTGAGTGAGATCATTATTATCATTGGAAAGACTCAATAATGAAATATAGATGGTGTTGTAAGGTGGGGACTAGGTGAGATATCAGTTGGCTGTTCATAAATATTGCTTTTACCTTCTTCCTCAGCCTACAGACTTGCTCTATGGAACCAGCAAACCAAACAAAAGCTTCACAATTCCTCCTGCTGGGCCTCTCTGATGAACCTGAACTTCAGTGTCTCCTCTTTGGACTCTTCCTGTGCATGTACTTGGTCACTGTGTTTGGGAACATGCTTATCATCCTGGCCATCAGCCTGGATTCCCACCTCCACAACCCCATGTATTTCTTCCTGTCCAACCTCTCCTTTGCTGATATCTGTTCAATCACCACCGTAGTCCCAAAGATGTTGGTGAACATCCAGACACAGAGAAAAGATATTTCTTACATAGCATGTCTTACTCAGGTATATTTCTTCATGATTTTTGCTGGACTGGACAATTTTTTTCTGACTGTAATGGCCTATGACAGGTATGTGGCCATTTGTTGCCCCCTGCACTACACAGTCATCATGAACCCCCAGCTCTGTGGCTTATTGATTCTAATGTCCTGGTTCATTATTTTCTGGGTCTCCCTGATTCATATTTTACTGATAATGCAGCTGAACTTCTGTATAGGCACTGAGATTCCACATTTCTTCTGTGAACTGACTCAGATGATCAAAGTGGCCTGTTCTGATACCCTCATCATTAACATCATCTTTTATGTGATGACTGTCTTACTGGGTGTGTTTCCCCTCACTGGGATATTATTCTCTTACTTTAAGATTGTCTCCTCCTTAATGAGAATGTCCTCTACTGGGAGCAAGTGTAAGGCATTTTCTAGCTGTGGGTCTCACCTCTCTGTGGTCTCCTTGTTCTATGGGACAAGCCTTGCGGTCAGCCTCAGTTCTGCTCTGACACATTCTTCACAGAGAATCTCCATTGCCTCAGTGATGTACACTGTGGTCACACCCATGTTGAACCCCTTCATCTACAGCCTAAGGAACAAGGAAATGAAGGGAGCTCTGGGAAGACTCTTTAGTAGAGCAGTGTCTTGTTTATGATGGTCATAGGTTTCAGGGCCAAACACACCCATAGTTTCAATAATCAAATGCCACAATGTAAAATATCCTGAACCCTTTATCTTCCCCTAAACATATGCATCATTTCTTTTATTCCTAAGGCACCTATAGCTGAGTTTTCTGCTTGTTTTTGTGCCAGTTTCCCTCAGCTTTTCCCTCAGTCATCTTCTTTGGTTCTCCTTTCCTATATGCTCTCCAGAAAGTTCATTCCTTGATTAGCATTGTTACTGCCATTCCTGAAAACCCCATCCTTAGATTTGCAGCTTTATTATTTCAAGTGCTGACATAGTTTCACAAATGTTAATCTCACAAACATGGATGCCTTCTCCCTCAATTTAGTTATATGTATGTTTTTCCCTGTAAGAAATAAAATTAAAATTATACCATAGACATAGCTTAGTGCTTGCCACTTCTGCACTTCTGCACACTGCTGCACATATGAACCCATCACATATGTTTTATTCATTAAAATTTATATTTTTTCCTCTGGAACTAAGCTCCCTCTAGAAAGCTTGTAAGCCACTGATTTCTTGTCTTTGCAACCCCCTTCCCCATTTTGGGTGACCAATGTTTAAGTTGCCCATCTCTGTCAACACTGTGTACTGAGGGGTTGGGAATGATCCTTGCTATAAAGATTTGTTTCCTCTTTTGAGCTACTACATCCATAAGTATAGGTCAAGTTTGTCAAATTGCAGTGGATTCCTCATTTTTATTATCTTCTTTCTTCTTCTAGTAGAGTTCTGATCATCCAGCCATTGAAGACAGGTCAGGTGGGTACTATCTGCCAGTATGGGTGTTCTTGTGCATCTCCCCTCACTTCATATTAACTTGATGCTTCACTCTCTGCTCTAGTCCTCTGTGGGCATGTCACTGTCTCTGGGCCCAGGAGTCCCCCAGTCTTTCCATACTGCTGGCCTAGTTCCAGAGGGTATGGGGGAAGGTGGGATCTCTACTGAATCCTTTCCTATCTGTTGGGATGGGACTGATGAAAGGAGATGGGGATAAGAATTTTGTGGTACAACAGTGAATAATTGCTAACAGGACTAACTGTGAAGGTTGGAAATGTAAAGGTAGATGTTTTGTAACAAAAGAAGGGGAGTGGTTGATTTTGCAGTCCAGGACCAGAGATCCCTGGGACCATGAAGTGAGAAGAGTGGAGTGGGGGACACTTCCCAGAGAAGCTGTGACACCAGACATGGAGACAGAGACGACGACATGGAGAGATGGAGCAGCTGGGGACTCTGGACTCAGGAAGGGAGAGAGGCTATGTGCTGAAGGCCAGGGGGCAGGCTTAGGCAATGTACCCTTTGATTGTTGCATGGAAGGGATTGTAATCAATACAGTGAAACAAAATATGATAAGATGAATGTAAAGCTGTTGTTCTGCCATGTAAATTATTACATAATTCACAATAAAAAATTATATGGTGAATGATGTGAAGGTTGACAGAGCAATTCATTAGTTTTACATTTGACAGTTCACACACATTTGGTTTCATCTCATTGATTGTAGTCTCCTCAATGTAACATCACTTATCCTATTTCCTCCCTGCATTTGTTTCCATTCCTCCTTTTTTCTATCCTTTTAAACTTTGTTCTTTTGATCTCAAATGATTTATTCTTCTAAAGTGTGCATACCTCACTAGTGTTCTTTTTCTTCCTATAGACCTACTTATTGTTTGGTAAAAACTTGGGCCATGGGGTAAGTTCAGTTCCAGACATGAATGATGCCTAAGAGCCATAGCAGTCTCTTACCAATAAGCCTGATCTTTCTTGTTTTCTTTTGGGGCTTTGTGTTTCATTCCACATTTCCCCCACACTGTGTCCAGAACCTTGTAGTATCATTGCTTTCAGAGCCATTGGCATTAGTATACAGGTGTCACCTAGTATTTCTAGTCTTAGAGTCATGCAGACTAATGTTCACTTGGTCCAATAGTTAGACTAATTATTATTATTATTTTAAAAAATGCTGTATTGTGAATTATATGATAGTTTACATGAGAGAACTTTAGTTTTACATT